ATCTTCGTAACCGTTGTGAAGACATGGCGCAATTTCCAAATCATTCAATTTTTTTTACTCCAATTAAATTTCAAAATCTGTACTTATTTAACACGTAAATCTTGCTATGAAATACAAGGTGCATTTGTATGGTGAAGATTTTTTTTTTCTTTTTCAAATTAAAATTAAAGACAAATAAAAGTACACATTTTTAATACTTTTTCTACCTTTAGATACATTTAGATACATTTCCTTTCAGAAACACAGAAAACAAGCTTAATTTAAAATACATTTTAATAAAAAAAGGAGAGTTTGAAGTTAAAAATAGATTTTCCCAATCACTTTAATGAATTTTTTTCACTTAAAATTGATACTTACAATGTATTTTCAAACTGGTGTGACCACAGGTGTTTCATAATAGGTTTTCTTGCATTGTTCTGGGAGGTACAAAAAGGAGGTATGGGTGGGAAAGGGTTCCTAACTTTCTACCCATACAACAAGTTGTTCTATGGTCCTAGAAATGGGCTTTTATATATATATAAATTTTCGAGGAAAAGAAGTGTCAACTATCTTTTATAAGTTTCATCTTAGTTTAAGAATATATTCACACTTATCCCTTCATCACAATAATAATAAAGTGTTAACGGTTAATGCACACAAATGTGGTTTCTGTCTTGTACAATATATATTAAGTACTTTTTAAATACAAAACTATACATGGCATTTGTTCTAAGAGAAAGTGTATTCATTTAAACAAAGGAGGATGTGGCCAACTCTTGATGTACATTTACTGTAATTATTTAACGGAACCCAACTCTATAGTCGTTTTGAGTAAATATTCCTTGATGGAATGGAATAGAATGTACGGAATATTTTACGGAATAGAATGTAATCTTTGTGGACTTGTTTATGTTGGTGAAACCAAGGGATCACTTAATAAAAGAATATCATGTCATAGTTTTCAAATAAATAATGGGGGTCAGCAGCTTTTATGCAAGCATTTTAATTAACCTGATCATTCTATTTTGTCAATAAAAGTTAGAATTCTAGAAAAAATTTACCATCACACAAACAGTCCATCACTGATTACACCTTTCCGTAGACAACGAAAAGAATTTTGGATTAGAAAAATAGTGACATTCTTTCCCTATGAATGTAATGACAATGTCGATAGTACTGGAAATCTTTCCTGTCCGCAGTGTAACAATTTAAATGTGATGGGACTTTTTAACCATACACAGAGACGTAAGCGTAGTCAAGGACATCGGTCTTACAATAAACCTTTAATACACGATGTCTCTTTTGATTCATTACTACCTTACGTAAATCAACAGTTAGGTCTACATCATATTCGCACCAAACTTTACTCTGTCCCTTTGAAACTTTTAAATAGTCTTCTTGAGAAGGTCAAGGAAAGTTCATTTGTTGATTCCTCGACACCAGAATATAGGCTCGGAATTGTGATTATGGATATTGCAAATCATCGGCTTTTTAAACCCCCACGTTTTACTGAAGAAAATGCAGCTAAAACAATTCGTTTTTTCCTTAAATTTCAATATGCTAACAAAGGAATTGACGCGATTAATACGAGAAATATTCTTAATCACAAAAGGTCCAGTCTTGTATTCCACCATAATTCAAGTTAAAGACTACACCTTGTATTTCCCACAAAAATACATCGACTATTGCTTCCAAACTTTTAAACTACAAGAAAATTTTACAGGGCCTGGATATCGAATATCTAAAACATAATCCTCCATCGTGTTCATGTTCTTCTTCACCCTATAACTATAGTCCTGCTGGACACTTTATTACTGGTGACGTAAATATAGTTAATAATAAGGACCTTGGATCACTAATTTTAAAAGGTCCTAAATGTAGGGAACGCCGATCCTTCAACTGGCGTCGGAATTTTATAAATATTATGGATTCTGTAGAGGATTACGCCAACCGATGGGCCAGACATGAAAAAGAAGACCTTGACACTTTGTCAGAATGGATTAAATGTATCAGATGTATGTTAAAATCGCGATTAAAAGATTGAGGACGATATGAGAACCATCTATCCTTCTGTATTCAATAATCCAGAAGTGAAAAAAGAATTAGATAGATTACACATGATCAGTACGTACTGGTCCCTGCTGACAAAGCAGGTAACAACATTGTCTTTGTTTGTAAGGCTCATTATATTAAATGTATTTTGGAGGAACTTGGATTTAATTCTACAAGTGGTAGTCCAACTTATACTCATAGTTCCTTTTCTAAGGAAGAAATTCTTCAAAATCATATGTCAGTTTTGAATATTTTTAATATTCCAAACAACCAAAATGAATTTGGATTACCATATCTATATTGGATTCCGAAACTTCATAATAATCCTTACAAACAAAGATAATAGCGGGTTCCAGTATATGTTCAACCAAGCCTCTTTCTATACTCCACACTAAGATATTAACAGTAGTGAAGGAGAAACTTCAAGAGTACTGTGCAATAATATATTTAAGAAGTGGTGTAAATCAGATGTGGATACTTACAAATTCCAAGGAACTTTTGAAAAATTTGAAATCACAAGATTTTACCAAAATCAGCAGCTTAAAAACTTACGACTTTTCAACTTTATACACAACTATTCCCCACGACGAATTAAAGTCCAGGCTTTTTGATATCATTGACAGCACTTTTTCAATAAAAATTCAACTTACCTTGCCATTGGTCATTTGCAAAATTATTTTGTTAAAAACAATCTGATTGTACACACAAGTACTCTGAAGTTGACATTAAAAAGATGCTTGAGTTTCTGATTGACAATATCTATGTGGTTTTTGGAGACCAGGTCTTCCAATAATCTATTGGAATTCCCATGGGTACCAATTGCGCCCCGTTGTTAGCAGACCTTTTTTGTATTCATATGAAGCAGAATTTGTCCAAAATCTTATACGTGAAAAGAAGAAATCACTTGCTGTGGCCTTCAACTCGACATTTATATATATCGACGACGTATTGTCAATTAACAATGATTCTTATGTCTATACGATATATCCCGGTGAGCTTGAGATAAAAGATACCACAGAGTCTGACACATCTGTTTCATATTTGGATATTTTACTTGATTGATTGATTGATTGTATATTGTTTTACGTCCCATTCGAGAATTTTTCACTCATATAGAGACGTCACCATATACCGGTGAAGGGCTTCAAATTTTGACCTTTACTCGGCACTCAGGGCCATTGAGCAGTGAGGGATCTTTATCGTGCCAACGTCTGCCGTGACACGGGGCCTCGGTTTTTAAGGTCTCATCCGAAAGACCCGCAACTTTCTCTTCAAAGTGCCGAGCGCATGGCGAAGGAACAGTTGCTACCTATTTTTTATCGACTTAGGTCTGTCGCGGCCGAGATTCGAACTCACGACCTCCCGATCACGAAGCGAGCGCTCTACCGACTGAGCTACCGTGAACGGTAATTTTTTTTTTTACTTGAAAAAGACGTTAATGGTAATCTAACAACAAAGCTTTATGATAAACGTGATGACTTTAACTTTTCAATCGTCAACTTCTCTTACTTATGAAGCAATATACCTTCATCACCTGCATACAAGGTTTATATCTCTCAGTTGATTCGATACACAAGGGCATGCTTACGTATGTACAATTTCTATAACGAGGTAAATTATTGACAAACAAGTTTATGAAACAAGAATATCATCAGTCTCGTTTAATGTGACTATTTCGTACGTTTTATGGTCGATACAATGACCTTGTCAGCAAATACAATTTATCATTGTGTCAAATGCTGACTGACATTTTTCATACTGATTGTTAGGCCAGTATTTACACACTGAATTGTCGATGGATTTTTCTGTTATTTCCCAATTATGACAAGGAGCACACGGCGGGTGTTACCGGTCAGCAAGGGATGCTCACTCCTCCATGGCACCTGATCCCACCTCTGATGTTTTGGAGGTCCGTGTTTGCTCTGCTCCTATTTTGTATTGTTCAATGAACTTTTGAGCTTGAATACTGTTCGTTATCTCCACATATTTCAATGTAATAATGAGAACTATTTAAGTATTTCAGAAAAAGTACTATATTTTTTTTTTATTTCTACCGTTTAGATATATCAAATACTTATCTAAAGGGACAGCAAAGGGCAAGACTATTCTGAGATAACATGTCCTTTATGGAAATGCCATATATTTAGTGGAGGCGTAATTAGAGACACAACATTTCTCTCTCTGTATTTATCTTCAGGAGCATATATTTACAATCATTGTTGATTTACTACTTTTTTTCAGGAAAAGGACACGTAAAGAATGATACTGACGATTTGCCTTATAGGCGTGTTTCTGGGACAATGTACGGCTAGAAAGTATGTAATTTTATTTGGTGATATTTTGTTTGTGTTTCCAAAAGTTAACAACTAAATTCTAAAATTTTATATAAGAACACCTTTTTGATTTCAAACTTTGTTTTCTGACAAAAATTCGAAAATCAATAACTTGTGTACATTTGGTTATCATTTATTCTCTTATAGACGTGAGTAATGACTGGGTTCTATTTATAAAAATGATTATGATCAGTAGTTTTGTTTACATCGTTTTCTTGAGACTTGATAGTGGTTGTTATATATTGTTTTTATTTGTATATTTTCAGTTCGTACATAATCCTGACACCTAAGGTAATCCGACCTGGTCTGGTAGAGAACATAACAGTCACAATCCTCAAAGGCAACATCAACAATGCTACAGTTAGAGCCACACTGGAGGACTTTAATAGAAATATACTGTCTGAATTCACTGGAATCTTTCAAAGTCGTAAGAAAGCACATTTATAAAGAATAAAAATATTGATAGTATAGATGATTCATAAATCATTGCATTCAAAAAGCACTGTTAATGAAAAGGGACGCAAGTTTGACAATCAAACGTTTATTGCTTCAATACATGAAGTTTTTTTTCCTTCAATGCATGTTTGTATTATCAAAGGGAAAATAAAGTGTTGTTCATGGTTTTATAGGAATATCATGCCGATTATGGTATGTTCATAGTGAATAAAAAAGACAAGAGAGATAGTTTTATAAGGATTTCAATTGAAAGAATGTTTGTTTATACTAAGTTTTCTTTATCAACTTTCGATTACATACATTCACACCACTTGTTATTCCCTAAAGTTAATAATTTAAAAGAAATAAATAATTAATCAATAACTTCATTTTTTGAATATCAGATTAAAAATAATTTTTACTTTTCATTCTAGATACACCAAAGGCTTTACAGTTGAAGGTTAGTTCTAGTTACCTGTGTTCGATTTTGCCCATCTCTATCACTTTTCACAACCATCTTATAGCAGTGTTTCCGTCAATGTCCAATTAGTGATATGCATTAAAAGATATCACAATTTACTTTATTCATTTCTGTTGTTTTGTAGTCAATTTTCTCCTTAAGGCATGGTAAAAGTATATAAGAATGTAAACACTTGCATGAGAATGTATGTCCAGATTTCTTGCAAATGTCACAAAAAATAAATTAAATTTTAAAACAATTTCTTTACCTAGATTCCAGGAGGTTTGAAAAATTTGACTCCAGGCACCAGAAACTATAGGATCCGCCTACAAGGAACTGGTGACATTTCGTTTATGAATGCTACCGATGTGTTTGTGCAGAGTCAAAACATTTCCATTTTCATTCAAACCGACAAAGGAACTTACAAAGCCGGCCAGAAAAGTAGGCATCATTTTGAGTATTAAATGACTTCTCGCTTTTTTTCTCTTCCTTAAAACATTAAAAAACTAATTTTATTTGTAGTCCAAATCCGTAGTTTTGCATTGTATCCCAATAGTTCTATCTATACTGGAAATTTCACATTGGATATACAGGTATGTCTGTCAATATTTTGCGGGTTATATAGGTTTTATTTAGATTCTTTAAAGTACAAAGATGAAATCAAAATAACAGAAATAAGTGATCGAAGAAAAGGTATCAACATGAATACTTGATTAACTTATTTTTATATTTTATATTTTATTGTTATCTAAAGGATCCTAAGGCCAACATAATTAAGCACTGGAATAACCTTCAGAATACGAGTTATGGTGTGATCTCTAAATCCCTTGATTTGGATAGTCAGCCTGTACTAGGAGACTGGGTCATAAAGGTCACAGCTCAAGGGGTCACAAAAAGGGCAACTGTCAAAGTCGACGAATATGGTATTGTGGAATTTGATTTCTTGGAAAATAAATTTTAAAAAGTATATAAATTGCTCCAAAAATCTATATTTGTTGCAGAAATTTAAAATGACTGTTGTTTTTGCAATGAAAATGCTGGGAAAACTAATATGCATTTGTATATCTAAAAAGACTAAGCTTGACTTTGCTTTTGAGAAGACAGATAGTTATAGTAAAACTGGTGAAAAAAATCAGGTGTCTGATTTTACAGCTACAGTGTCTGTTACTGATTCCTGGATATTTTATGCTCGTATTTGTCCGATCTTATTTTTTCTATGTTGAATTATCGGAGTCCAATAGCACATCTTTGTATAAAAAAGAAAATAAAATCTTGTTCATGGTTTGCATATGATACTTGTACATGTTTGAGTTAATTGGGATCGATTTGAGTTCTTTTAATTTTGTTGTTTTTTGACAAGTACTTCCCAAATTCAAGTTGGAGACAAGTTTTCCACAATCGGCTCAAGTCAGTGATAGGGAGGTTTCAGGATCAGTTGTGGCCACGTATACGTACGGACGCCCTGTCCCAGGGCGGGTCAACATCTCAGTCTCCATACCTTCTTTAGCAGGAAGCTTCAAGACTTGGTCTGGACAAATGTTCACTGATTCTAGACATGTAATATTTTTAATGTTACATCATTACTATCATTTAACTTGATATTTGATTTGTTGTTGTTTATAAGTACATATGTGACTCCTTTATAGAAGGAATATCTTAAATCACAGGTAACAAAGGAAGAGAAATTCACAATTCCACTCAGCCATTTAAGAGATCACCTTTCGCACGGAGACCGAGTTTCAAATCATGTAGATGGAACTCAAATAAAAGTTGAGGTGAAATTTACCGAAGATAACACAGAGAAAACAGTGTCTAAAACGTCATATATCAGGCTACAAAGTCATGGGGTTCAGTTCTCCATAAGTCACAAAGGATCTAACAGATACATTCCAGGATTTAATTTTCCGATCAAGGTAAAATGAAAGTTGTAATTGTATTACTTAAAGCACAAAAACAGTTTGAATTAAATAGAGACTGACTTAACATTTGATTCAAATGATCCCCAAATATTAATGTAAAACGTACTTTCTTGCGGCGCAATTGAATTTTTTTTAACTCTTCTTTGGTGAAAATATACATAAGATAAAATTGGTCATACTGAATTCAAATCGAAGGTTTTTCGGCATGTGTTTGGTCACATATTTGTGATAGTTTTAGATTTAATGTACATTTCACTTGATCACAGCAGGACTTTCTTTTTCTTCATTTTGATGATTAATCATTACTTTGTATAGTAAAGATAGCAAGTATTAAAAGAATGGTCAAATAGTAACCTTTGGGTCTTTGATAAGAATATTCTGATGTTTTCTAATTTTAGTATATTTAAGGAATGAATTTAATAGCTACCCAAGTTAAACTGTATAACCTAATTTGGGACAGTTTATAAAAAAAGCGTAAAGTGTTCCAATCCAGGTTATAAAACTTAGGTAACTATTAAGTTTAACCTTTTTAATATAATTTTTTAACATGTAGTGTAAAATAGAAAACAATTTCCTCTCAAAAATGACTTCACATTGCACAAAATTTAAAGATTGTTACAATCATAATTAAATGATATTGATTTGTAAAGAAAAGTTTACTTAAATTCATAAAAGTTATTTAGCTTATATGGACATATATGTGTGAACGTTTCATTAAATATATCAACTTAATAAATAATTCTGTGCAATTGAAATAATGACTGATTTTTTATTCCAGATTATATTTACGGACAACGAGGGCAGGGCACCAAACAAACACCTTCCTCCAGCGCACCTTGTCGTAAATTCACATAACTCTTCTGGTACTAACACGGAACAAGACAAACATATTCCTATCCCGTCCAATGGGCTCATAGATATTGATGTTCCCACTCCTAATAAGACAGATGTACACATATTGGAAATTAATGTAGGCAATATTACAAAAATTTTGTTATGATTCAACTTGTAAAAAAGTTAGTACAAAATATGTTCCATTCTCAAAGCATGCCTAGGAAAATGGTTAACAAGAATACATGAAATAAAATTGAGATATTGATACAAAACAAGCATTCTGAGAGAATTGCATAAGCAATACTAGTCCCCTACTGGTAAGTGTAATCTGGTTCCCGTTAAGAATTCAAAATGCCATAATTCCGTCAAAAATTAATGAAGCGGGATGAAATGCAAACTTGATCTGTAAATAATCAAGGTAAAGCCACACACCAAAAATCAGCTCAATGTCTACGAGCGTTTAGAAGAAAATTGCGGAAAACCTTTAAAAATTGAAAAGGCCGTAATTCCATCAAAAATCAATGAAGCGGAACGAAATGCAAACTTGATCTGTAACTCATCAAGATACACTCACATACCAAAAATCAGCTCAATATCTGCAAGCGTTTAAGAAAAAAGTGCGGAAAACCAATGGGACAGACTGACAGACAGACAAACAGACAGACAGACGGACGGACAGACTCAGAGGAAACCTATAGTCCCCTCCGGTTTCACCGGTAGGGGACTAATAAAACTGATCCATATTTTTACCATTATTGAAAGTGAAGAACACTTACATGTACGATAAAACGAAAATCATAGATTCCTTTTTTTTTTTTTTTTTAATTTTCTTTCAGGTTACACATGACAATATTGTTAAAACGCTCACTCTAAACGCATATGACAGCAACCAAACGCATATAAAGATAAACGTTTTGTCCGCCGATCATAGGGTAAGATAGTTTGTCATTCTCATTAAATTAGAATTTTATAGCCTTCAGGGCTGTTTAAAAGTACTCACATGACGTTATATTATCAAAAAGAACATCCGTTCATAAAGTTAGGAATACAAGCACACATAGTACAATAGAAGTTTTTTAATTGAATAATTATCAATATCATATTTGAAGGTTGGAAAACCCGTGACATTGAATATACAGGCAAACAAACCAATCACTGAAGTATATTATCAGGTAATACGCAATCAATAAATGATTGTTAAAATAAATTTAATAAGTGACTTGATTTTCTTGAACTTCGACCTCTAATGTTTGAAATCCCACTCTTTTAATTCTTATGTTTATAGTTCGTTTCGCGCGGACTTCAAGTTTTATCAGGAAGGCACGATGTTAATGGAAGGATCAACTCCACATTCAACGTCCAAATTAACGAAGAAATGACTCCTGAAACCTCGATCCTAGTTTATAATGTCGACTCCGACACTGGCAATATTTATGCCGACCAGGCTTCCATTTCAGTAAATGGAATGTTGACAAATTCGGTCAGTAAACTGATTTTAGTAAGAGGATGGCTAAAGGCTTTATAAATATTATATATATATATATATATATATATATATATATATATATATATATATATATATATATATATATATATATATATACGAGGGTTGTTCGGAAAGTTCGTGGACTAGCGACATAAAATTAAAACCGCTTAAGATACATCAATTAATTTTTTAACGTTTAATTAGCATCATCTTTCCTATTTATATAATAAATTATACACCATTAGTTTTATTTTTTAATAAATTGTTGATGTTTTTGAAAGCAATGGTATGTCCAGGCGGCGCAACCTCGAAGATTACGTTTTTTCTACCTAAATCATGTAAATGTAACTTAGAAAAATCTCTCTTTTTTTGATATGAACATTCGTCTTTCAAAAATCCCGTTAATTCACTCATGTGGTATGACACAATTGTACCGTAAAATTTGCAATTTTTACCCCATTCTGTAAGTTCTATGAAATTTTATCGTAAAATTTATATGAAATGTCCAAACAATTATGGGGTTGTGATGACGTCAGAAAGGGGGGTGGGTTTCTTTTTCCAATATGCTATAAAGTTTCACCCTCTGGAAAAACTGGCATAGACCTAGGAAATATTTAAATGGGCTACTGAAAAATAAAATGCATTCAGAGTACTTGTTTTTAAACGCCGAAAAAGATTAGAGAGACGAGAGATGTAAAAGTGAATGTCGATTTGTAGTAAGGGTGTTCAAAGTTTGTCACGCCGAAAAGTGATGTTGATTATGTGTGATAGATGTTGAACTCCGACAAGCAAATATGCTGTTATAATCAAGTGAGAATCTTTCAGATCTATTTACAATATTATATGCATTGAAATCAGCTGTTTATGACATTGTAAAATCATATAAACAAGACGGGTTTAAATCTTTACTTAACTCCAAGGAAACTCATCAAGATAAGTGTATGAGGTAGAGAATGCGGACATTGAAAAACAATGACGTCATGAAACTAAATGGCGACAGCGCCGGTTGATCATATCATGTCTTTTTTATTTTATGATAATTTGGTAAATATTCAAGGTAGCAAGCTAAGATTTTCAACATTTCTTTAACTTTTGTTGTTTTATGTTCATCAAAAATTTTGTAACCATAGACTACATAGTATTAATTTTATCGCATCAGTCCACGAACTTTTTGAACAACCCTACTTATATATATATATATATATATATATATATATATATATATATATATATATATATATATATATATATATAAGCATATTTGCTGTAGGTGTTATAACATTTGAACATTTTTGTTGTAGGTGTCTGTCATGTTTGGACAAACACAGGTAGAACCTGGAGACAGAGTCAATCTAAATCTTCAGACGGCTCCACATTCAATGGTTTATCTATCAGCTGTCGATACATCCTCGATATTAATGGGAAATGATAATGATATAATTGAACAATCAGTAAGATATATATATATATATAGAGAGAGAGAGAGAGAGAGAGAAAGAGAGAGAGAGATGGTGCTTTCGTTCAAAGAAGGCGATAAAGATATGAAAAATCCTGGAGTTTTCTTTGACTGTCCTTTATGAAACAATTACAAATTTATCCAAGATTACCTCGATATTTTCTACATAGAAGTGACAGTTTTTGCTTTATCAAACATTTTCCTAGAACTGGAATCAATATTTGTATGTGTAGAGTGATAGCTTCAAACTCTAGTATTTTAAAGGTTACCTTATAATTGCGAAAATAGAGAAGCAGTTAATATTTGCTCATTGAATTGGTGATCGATATACTGAATTATCACTGATAATAAAAGAATAATTAAAGAAGAGAGAAAAATTTTGTTAAAAAAATATGACACCCTTCTTGCTGCAACTTCTTATTTTCAGTTAATCAATGGAATGAAGGAGTACAAACCCAGTATTCAAGAACAACTTTACTTCTACAAGATGAGCTGTGGATCCCAATCTGCCATTCAAGTCGACCATGATAATACTTATTCAGCGTACAGATTTGAGGTTATTTTTTTCCTTGCAGCACAGTAGTGTACCTTAATATGTCACATACTTAGAATAAAATATAATGAATAAAATACTTTAATTAAAATATTTCTTGCATTGAGCACAAAAAACTTAATGCACAGCTGCTTGTGAAATAATATTAATTTCAAAGTTGAGTTGTGCATCCAGTTACAGTTTACACATTAAATTTAACATTCTTCTTAGGAGGCATTCTTAAGAACTATCTAGTAATTTATCGTGTGTCTCTCAGGGATAAAAAGACGTTAAATTGCGTGTTAAACTTCAAAACTTCAAAATATTTTGCTTTTAACAGGAAGCTGGAGCTATGATAGTTACCGATGTCCAGAACTATGTCCCGGCTTCATACAAGTTTCACCCTTGTGAGTTTTTCTTAAGACATCACTGATTTCTAATGGTGATAACTTAGCAATAAAAATTATCGGGCATTGAAGTAAATTGGTTTATTTTACGATTGGCATGCTGATAATAAAAATCTTCTATAGATCTAAAGTTAACAAATATAAACAGTTCTAATTTTTGCTCGACTCCTTTGCAAAGAATGTTATTATTGATTTTGTTAAGAACAGAAGTAGATCAGGGAACTCCTATCTGATTGTTTGTTATCTTGCTGATAAGGCAATATTAATCATTTTTAGATTATGATCTGTCTGCTATATGGCAATCATGGCATCATTCATGCGGTGAATGTTGCGGTACGTATTTGAATATTTGATGACCTGATCGTTTATCAGTAAGTACGTTTCCTATTCAAACAATAATAATATACGGTCAAACATATATGCTCTGCACTTTTTAAGGTTTTATTTCGACAACAACAACTCCTCCACCTACAACAACAACATACATATATCCCTTTATGGGTAAGTATATACAGGCATCCCTTTATGATTAAGTAAATATAGAAATCCCCTGTTTTGGTTACTACATTCAAATATTCCTTTTATTATGTTTTAGTACGTATAAAGGTAGCAATATCTCTTTTTTGTGTGTATACACATGTATAAAACAGGACAGACAAAAAAATTGGTCAAAGCAAAACGTAATTTTTTTCACTAAGTAGTTTTCATAGATTGAGGTAATTGTCACTTGTTCCATTCGGAATTACCTATTTCATATAAATGATATGACTTGTGTTCATCTCATTTTTAAGTGAACTTCGAAATGCCTCTAATCTTTATTCTATTTATCTTGATCATTACAACAAACATTCAACTATTGGTCAATATTAAGACTCATTATTTCCCTTTCAGGTTTCACTTATCCTACTTATCCTATGGGTTTGTATTAAGGAACTAATTAATCTTTATGTACATGTTTTTAAAATTATTAACTACGAACTTGATGAAAATAAAAAATTTGGGACTATAAATGATCACTTTAGTTCTATGCAATTACAAATATCATATCTTTCAGTAAGATGGAAATCAAAATAGGGGCAATTTTTGTACACTAACTGAAACAACCGTGACCAAATTATCACGATTACTTCCCCTGGATAGACTTTATACCCTTCCTTTGTATGAATTAGGTATCCCACTATCACCAGGCTCAGGGTCAGCGGGATCAACAGGATTGTTATTCGGTATGCTTTAATTATTTATCGATTATATTAATTAACAGCAACAAATCAACTTTCCAGTCACATACCTGATACAACCCGAGTTTTGTTTCCTTTAAAACATTATCATTTCGGAGGGAGCTTTTTATACAGTGACTGTTTTGTTCAATTTGTTTCATACGAAGAATTATTTTAATTCATAAGTTGATTTATCATTTGTCCTTTTTTTTCATGCAACAGGTCCGACACCCGCACCAGGTAACTACAATTATCAGCGAATTTTTTTTACGTCGGAATATATCAGTAAAATCGTTTAAAATCTTCTCAAGAATAGCAGGGCCATGATGTCATAATTATTAGTGTAATATACAAGCATTCTCAAGCAGTACAGTTTCAAATTTGTTCAAAACTTGGTCTCCAGTGGGCTACATGGGAGCCTGTTGAAAACAATTTTTAAAATAGGGTCTAGATTTGTCATATTAATATGCAAGCATCCGAATGTACTTCAAATTATGGCCCCTGGGAGTAGCTAGGGTGGAACAAACTACGGGATCCAAGTTTTACATGAAAATTTACAGAAAAAACAAAAAGGATCTTCATTTGAAGAATAACAGGGTCATGGTAAGTCTTATTTATATGCAAACATCCTTAGGTAGTGCAAATACACGTCTATTGAAATTATGGTTTCTTGGTTAGAATGGAGCCACAATAAAGAATCAAAGTTTTACTGGAAATATATAGGGGAAAATCTTTATAAAATGTATTCTTAAATTTAAAAGGTCTTTGATAAGCCGTATTTATATGCAATCATTCTCCGGCAGGGCAGACACAACTTTATTCAAATAATGGCCAGTACGTGTCGAATTATACCCGCTAATTTCATTGTTTATCATCAAATAATTTAATTTTGTTTGTATTCTAGCCTCTGATTGGTTAATATCCAAAATGGAACACAAATTATTTTTGTATAACCTGGTTTGGTATGGGGACACCCCCTCCCCCCTGACAACCAGCTGAATCATCTGTATCCAAACAATCCTCTCATTTCCAGTCCTCGGGATTCATGGAAAATTCCAGATTCAATAAATGTACCTTTAATTTCAAACAATAATTCGATCTTACCACATGTAAACAAACAACAAGGCTAGTGGGCCTATTGTTCAAACTTTTATATTGGAATATATAGAATCCTTTTTTATTCAAAGTTATTCAAATGTTTTCGAATAATGGACACTAGGGTTCGGTTGGGGCAAAAATTGGAGATAATATATATATATATATATATATATATATATATATATATATATATATATATATATATATATATATATATAATATATAAATATATATATATATATATATATATATATATATATATATATATATATATATATATATGGGAGGAAAATTAAAAAATTAAAAATTACATTTCGTGTCAGCAGCCTTGTTAAAACAGTTCTTTTAGTTGATGAAAAAGTCTATACATGTACGTATTCGTCTACATGTAGTTGAAACATCATTTTAGAATTCAAGTAAAAGATGATTCTTTGTTCCCAAATTAGGTATGACGTATCCTCCACAACCACTGCCTACCTACATGTCTCATACGTACGCACCAGGAGGCGGTAAACGTTAATCTTTTAGTTGAAATGTTAAATCTAGTAATAGTAAAAAAAAACAATAAATGTTACATAGAGTTTACCATTACGTAATAATGAAACATTTTACGATGATAAAGTTCATGCATTCAAATATTCTAATATGAATCATTTCTAATATTTTCAACAGAATTCCAAAATATCTCTTAAATACATTTTTTTAAAATTCTAATTCTATAGTTGTTGGCACACCAATGCCCGCCTACCCGTCCACTCCTTTCTTTTTCACAACAACTTACCGTCCATTTCAAACAACAACGCCTTCTCTTTCTGCTCATTTGTCTACAGCCAAACATGTTCGTTCAAACTTTCCAGAGACATGGCTATGGACAAGTCAATTTGTTGGGTAAGCTCAAGTAAAGATTATCATCAGACTATAGTCCTACATCACAGTATAGCAATGCAAATATTTGTTTGTAATATTTCATTTTAAATGTAGAACACATGCATCTATATTTTTTTTTTAATTCTAGTGATCCATACATTCTTTCTGTGTATCTGTCCAACTCGATAGTCCATGAAATTCTTTAAGATCTTAAATACTTTATTTTTTACAGAATACAAGTTGAACTTATCAAATATTAAATTAAATTTAAACATGAGAATAAATTGTCAAATTTAAATATTAATCTTAAATCCATTACATGCTTTAACTCAATCAGCTGCATTTCGGTAAAGTGGGTCAAATATCCAAATGATATTTAGAAGATTTCCAAAATACGAAAAACTTTTTGCATGTGAATTACCGCTAAAATAAAGTCAATGACTCATGTTAAAAGAAAAGGATTTCATCAACGTTTGTCTTTTGAAAGGATGAACATGGAATACAGTTTGTACTAAAGCCTTAAATATTAAAAAAAAATGACTTCCTGTTAATGAAAATATTTAGGGAAAACACAAATAATTTAATTGAACAAAAAAAGATTACATGTTTTTGTTTTCGTGATTTTGTAGGGATTCTGGAAATGTGACTATTTCTTCAGTTGCTCCAGACTCCATCACTTCTTGGGTAGCTAGTGCTTTCTCTATGAACAAAGACGTTGGTATCGGAGTGTCCAGTGCTGCTTCCAAGGTGATTTTCATTATAGCTTCAAATTTTAACAAAATTATTCAATAAAATTAAGGCCATTTTTATGTTTTGATCTTCTGTGTTGCATCCAATGCATGTACTACTCAGTCTATTGGAAAAAGATTCTATGTTACATTAGTATTCTTAATTATACCGTACAATTTTTTCAGCATTTAAACAGTTCAGTACATGTATTATGTGTGTGAAATTCATATTGCAAGCATTTGTATTAGAGTGTCGGTGAAGGTTTATTTCCGTAAAATTATACAAAAATCGAAAAAGCACTGAATAACGCGACAAAAATTTGAAAATAACATCATTAGACATACTTCATACGACCTTCCTCCACAGTGTACTCAAAAACTGCTATATTTTGAAACATATTTTAGGGAATTTCTACTTCGAAGCAAATGATTTCTTTAAGAAACAAACAACTTTTATCAGTTGTGTTCTGAACAAAATTTCTCTGCAGACATATTCCATGACGGCCCTCAAGCGCCTGTTTGATTATGACGTAAGCATATTATTGCATTTACAGCTGAATGTATTCAGGCCCTTCTTCATCAACATCAATCTTCCATTCTCTGTCATACATGGTGAGGAGGTAGTATTACAAGTAAACATCTTCAACTACATGACTGAGAATCTCACAGTGAGTACTAAACATCTATATGACAAAGGAAGGACTTAAGCACCTTATTGAGAACAAAACTTTTAAAACAAATGTAATTTTGCTCCAAAATATCAACATGCAATACATTCTTACACTTTTAACTGAATATTTTCATATACCAGGAAATTTTGATGAGATAGAAAAAAAGAAGGCCATTGCACAGCTTAGATTTAAAAGCAGATATATTTATTTATCAAACATTTATCAAATATTGGCATCTTGAAATAATAACATTTACGACTGACTAATGTAACATCCCCTTTTTTCCCATGATTTTAGGTTTTAGTGACCCTAGAACATAATTCAGATTTTCAAAACATAGTCGTTGATGACTTGGGATACACACATTATGAATCCATCACAAAGACGTCAAATATCCAGGTATGTATTCTACTACTGTAACGAATATCTTCAATGTTTCAAAATGTATGTTAGAGGTACCTTTTCAATGATAAAGGTTCACAAAAAATTGTTCATCTTTCCAAAATATTAAATGTCTGCCCGATAAGCGATAATACTAGTTATGGCCTATGTTTTGTCCTATTTTGATGTCTGAATTCTGCACTAAAATATTTCATTATAATATAAGATTATAAAATCTGTGCTTTTGTGCCCTCTTGTCATTCTGCATAAGCATTTCCCCATTATACCACTGTTACTGGTTATATACACTGACATTTCTGTTTAGGTGCCCTCTGGACAATCCGAGTCAATGTTTTTCCCTATTATACCCGCTGTTATTGGAGACATTGACATTTCTGTCAAAGCTCAGTCGGTTATAGCAGCGGATGCAGTGAAAAGGAAACTAAGAGTGGAGGTATGTTTTAGTTTAAATAATTCTCCATCAAATGATTCGATAAAAAATGCAATATCATTTAAACTCACAAACTTTGAAATTAATTATATTTGAAAAACAAATTATTTTCAATAAAGAGGAGTATGAATTTACTGAGAATTATATACATTCTATATACCAGCATTAACAATTTTAAAGACAAAAATTTTTTTTATACAATATATGCTATATAGTAGTCATCTTTTAATGAGAAGTTAGTTGGAAATTTGCATTTTGAACAAGTTTATGTTTGCTTGCATGAACAGATGGATAAAATGTAGTACAATTTTATTTGCCTATTTATATTCATCTAACAAAAACAAATTATAAACACAAGTTATGTACGTGAATCAAAATAGCTATCGAACAGATTTTTAATCTAATGTTGTTAGGCGGAAGGAGTTAAGAAGGAGTATAATGTTCCTTTAATAATTGACATGACCAACAAGACCACCGACCATCATAGCGTCCCCATTGAATTCCCAAGTTCACTGGTTAAAGGATCAGAAAGAGTACAAGTTTTAACCATAGGTAATATCATTTTTATTTCAATAACAAAATGATTTTTTCACGGAATTTGATCTATTTTAAGTCAAGATGATCAAATTAAAATCATTGAATTGTTTTATTAAGTTCAAGAATGATACAATGAAGATTACACAAGATATTTGAATTATTTTTATTTAGGTGACTATATGGGACCATCTGTTTCCGGTTTAGACAAATTACTAGCATTACCAACGGGATGCGGAGAGCAGACTATGATCGGCTTTGCCCCAGATGTGTCTATTTTTAGTTATCTTCAAAGAACTGGACAATTAACAGATCAAATAAAAGATAAAGCCTTGTCTTTTATGGAAAAAGGCATGTTCTTATACCGATGTAATGTTTCTTTTATACATTCTTGAAGTATTCTCTTATCATACAAAATGGAATTTCAAGCCTTCGGTAATCCTACCTTTGGACACATGAATTTTCTTCTTTCAGATTGCTCAGCTGCCCTTTGCTATCGATTGTTTCATGATGAAATTTTTTTCAAATATATTAGAAGTACAACTCATGCTAATCAAATTAAACACGGAAAGTCCAACGACAAATTAAATTAAGTTATCTGTTACTTTGTAGCTTATTTAAGTAATTTTAATAGAAAATACAGTAATAAATGTAATAGGCGTGTTATAAAACTATCATGAATTATTTTTGGACTCTAGGCTATCAACGGGAACTCAAGTTTCAGCATAGGGACGGCTCATTTAGTGTTTGGGGTTCTAAAGACAACTATGGAAGTACTTGGTGAGTACAAATTTTATTTTTTTTTTTACTTTTATCACGAGACCTAATCATCACAAATTTATTTTAGAAGAGTGCGCACATTCTATTGCAACATTCTGCTATTAAATGTATTTTGTATATAAAATGTATTGTGTCTCTTAACATTATGGGAACTTCAAATTATCCAAGGAGTAAATGTACATTTATTATAACCGTTTATATTAAAACATTTTTAAGTTAAAGAAATTATTTACACAGTTGCATGGATCAAAATATTTCACTTTGTGTAAGGAACTTGTGTTGCCGAAAATGTGTTAGACTTTAAAACAAAATTCTGTATTGTCTCCACACTTAATATAAAGCAAAATGCTTATGTAAGTTCTTGATTTGGGCAGCAATTTTTACATGAACAAGGTAATCTGAAAACAGTAACAAGATTATAATAGTAGCTATTATTTGATGTTTTCTATCGTAGGTTGACAGCTTTCGTTTTGAAATCCTTTGCACAATCTGCATCGTATATTGACATCAACAGTGAAGTTTTGGAGAAAGCCCAGCAGTGGCTAATTAACCGTCAAATGAGCTGGGGCTCCTTTAGCGAACTCCAGGGAGTCAATTCCCTCTCCCTACAGGTACATAGTCTGTGTTAATTCCCTCTCCATACGGGTTCAGATTTCGTGTTGATTCCTACAGGTACAGAATTCATGTTAATTCTCCCTCCCAAAAGATACATATTTTGTATTAAATACCTCAGCCTAAAGGTATAGATTTTGGAATTAGTCCTTCTCTATTGTGTAGATTTTGGGTGAATTCCCTCTCCCTAGAAGTACGGATTGGTGTTAATATCCTCTCGCTACAGGAAGAGATTCTGTGTTAATTCCCTCTCCCTAGAAGTACAGATTGGTGTTAATATCCTCTCGCTACAGGAAGAGATTCTGTGTTAATTCCCTCTCCCTAGAAGTACAGATTGGTGTTAATATCTCAGGAAGAGATTCTGTGTTAATTCCCTCTCCCTAGAAGTACAGATTGGTGTTAATATCCTCTCGCTACAGGAAGAGATTCTGTGTTAATTCCCTCTCCCTAGAAGTACAGATTGGTGTTAATATCCTCTCGCTACAGGAAGAGATTCTGTGTTAATTCCCTCTCCCTAGAAGTACAGATTGGTGTTAATATCCTCTCGCTACAGGAAGAGATTCTGTGTTAATTCCCTCTCCCTAGAAGTACAGATTGGTGTTAATATCTCAGGAAGAGATTCTGTGTTAATTCCCTCTCCGTTTCCTCAGAGGAACAGACTTTGTGTTCATTCCTTCTCTTCTGTAGGAACAGATTTTGTGTAGATTTCCTCTCCAAACAGGTACAAATTTTGTTTTAAATTCCGCTCTCTACAGGTACAAACTTTTCTGTAAATTCCCTTCCCATACAGATATAGATTTTGTGTCTCTCTCTCAACAATTACAGAATTTATTGATTCACTCTCTCTACAGACACATATTTTGTGTTAATTCCCTCTCTCTCTAAAATTACAAATTTTGTAGTACTTTTCTTTCTACAGACACAGATTTTATGTTACTTTCCTTTCTCTACAATTTCAGAAGTTTATTAGTTTTCTTTCTCAGCCGATTTTGTGTTACTGTCCTTTCTCTATAGTTACAGAATTTGTATTCACTCTTTCTACAGACACATATTTTGTGTTACTGTCCTTTCTCTATAGTTACAGAATTTGTATTCACTGTTTCTACAGACACATATTTTTTGTTGCTGTCCGCTCTCTACAGTTACAGAATTTGTATTCACTCTTTCTACAGACACATATTGTGTGTTACTTTACTTTCTGTACAGTTGTAGAATTTGTATTACTTCAATTTTTCTACAGACAGAGATTTTATGTCAATTCCCTCTCTCTAGAAATGCGGATGTTTGTGTCAATCAATTCCCTCTCCCTACAGGTACAGAATTTGCGTTAATTTACTCTCTCTACAGACAAATATTTTTTGTTAATTCCCTCCTCCAACAGGTACAGAATTTTGATCGAATTTCTCTCTGTAAAAGTAAACCTGTTTTTAAAATTTCAGTGTTTTATTTTATTTTTTTTACTTCTAAAATATTTTTAATGATATGAAGATTAAAATACCAAACACGGAGGTATTGTGTTTATGAAAAGTAAACATGTGCATATTTGCATATAGGAAAGGTACTTTTTTCAACAATTCCAATTAAGCTTTTATATTTATGATAGTTTTGAATTTCCTGGATGTTACTTTTAATAGAATTTTAAACATTGCAGTGACATCTCTCTATTAATCATATTGTTAAAAAATTTTAGCAGTACAAGTCCAGTTTTAAGACATGCCGAGAAATGTTTATATGTCATCTGCAGGGATTATTTTTATGCCCCCGGATCGAAAGATCCCGGGGGTATATTGTTTTTGTCCTGTCTGTCTGTTTGTCTGTTTATCTGTTTATCTGTTTGTCTGTTTGATTGTTTGTCCGTTTATCTGTTTGTCTGTCTGTCTGTTGTCAACTTTAACCTTGCCCATAACTTTTGATTAGTTGGAGCTATGACTTTCATATTTCACATGTGTATTCCTTGTGACAAGGCCTTTCTTTGGGTACCATCATATTTGACCTTATGACCTTGACCTTGGTGTTTGACCCACTTTTGCAAACTTTTATGAGACTTTAACCTTGGCCATAACTTTTGAATGGTTGATGCTAGGGCTTTCATACTTCACATATATAATCCTTGTGACAAGACCTTCCTTTGGATACCAACCACTTTGACCTTTTGACCTTGACCTAGGAGTTTGACCTACTTTTGAAAAACTTTAACCTTGGCCATAACTATTGAATGGTTGATGCTAGGGCTTTCATACGCAGGTGTGTTAAGGAAGCACTAAGATAATCTGACTTTACTGAATCAGTGATACAATATGACGTCATAGTAGGCGAGATGACGTCAAGTTTAGAACGCAAGTTTTCTTAATATTGTTATTTAGAGACATAATTTAACTCCTGAAAATGAATAGAAACGTGCAAATATTAACAAAAATCAGATGTTTTTATTTTATTATGCTGTATCTGTCACTTGAATTAAAATCTCCGACCGATGACATCATAACTGTTCAACAAGTAACTTGAGAATCGATCATGTTGTGTAACGAGAATTTGGCTAAGACGGCATGTAAAAAGATACGTAAAAGGGGGTTTAGAAGCAAATACCGTGAATATTGTGTGTTATTCATGTGAAGTTAAAGTTTGTTAAACAGGTATGTTGATTTATTTTCATCGATTATATCTTCTATTGAAGAAAGTGAGCTATTTACGTATCCCGATTGGCCTTTCTGTCATTCGTGACAACAATAATGCAAAAGAACAACACTAAGCTGGATATTTAAAAACATACGATTTGCACATATCGAAAGCTTGCGTTCTAAAATACTTGGAAAGTGCTGCTAGAATCGTGAGGTAAACATGGTTTGAAGAAATATCTCTGGTTATATGTATATAATGCAAAACATCGGGTAAGGTTTCGTGCAAATATGTGGAATAATTATTTTCCCGACCGGACAGTGGGATTCTAGCAGCACTTTTTAGGCATAAGAGATGTTATTAAACTATATTATTTACTCAAAGAAATTATTAAACCCCGGGGTATTGTTGTTCTGTGAACTTTTTTATTAAGGAATATTTTGCTATTAATAGCAGTCGAGGTAATGCACTACTTGGCCTCAGACAATCCGTGTCTTTATGTGATAGTTAATAATAGTTTACGTTTTATCGGCGACTTTGACAAATTATCAATCTTGATTTTCTTTAAAAAGTCTAAATTTCTCGATAAATGATTTGTATGCTTCCTTAACATACCCGCGTAATTCACATATGTAATCCTTGTGACAAGACCTTCCTTTGGATACCAACTACTTTGACCCTTTGACCTTGACCTAGGAGTTTGACCTACTTTTGAAAAACTTTAACCTTGGCCATAACTTTTGAATGGTTGATGCTAGGGCTTTCATACTTCACATATGTAATCCTTGTGACAAGATCTTCCTTTCGATACCGACCACTTTGACCTTGACCTTGACGCTTGACTTTTATTTAAAAAACTTTAACCTTGGCCATAACTTTTGAACAGTTGTATCTAGGTCTTTCAAATTTCACAGGTGTATTCCTTGAGACAAGACCTTTCTTTGGGTATCAACATTTTTTATCTTTTGGCCTGGATTTTGACTTGCATTTGAAGAAACTTTAACCTTCGCCATAAGCTGCCATACGGGGGAATCAGTGTTTCACGTTTTTTTAGAAGCTTCCAAGTAATCTTTTAATTTTGAACTGGCAATGTTTTATGTACGATAGATATTCTCATGTTTAAGTACGATAGGTATTGTCATACAGAACTAGCAATGTTTTATGTACGATAGATATTCTCATACAGAACTCGCAATGTTTTATGTACGATAGGTATTGTCATACAGAACTAGCAATGTTTTATGTACGATAGGTTTTCTCATACAGAACTCGCAATGTTTTAAGTACGATAGGTATTGTCATACAGAACTAGCAATGTTTTAAGTACGATAGGTTTTCTCATGTTTAAGTACGATAGGTATTCTCATACAGAACTGGCAATGTTTTAAGTACGATAGGTATTCTCATACAGAACTGGCAATGTTTTAAGTACGATAGGTATTCTCATACAGTTCTATATGAAAGATGTTCAGACTGTTTTGACCACAACAAGCATAAAAAGTCAGATATTGGTTTTTTTTTTCAAAATTTATAGAACTTTATTTTTGAGATTTCCATTTCGCTCACAATATTTGTTGCAACATTGATATTTTCTACTTCCCACTTACATCGAAGAGTCTTAGGATAGCTGTAGAAAAAATACTTTTAATGATTGCACTTTTTGTTTTTTAATGCTTAACTTATGCGTTGGTTGTTAAGAATAGATAAAATATTTTGAAAACTAATGATATTAGTTCATTTCTTCGTTTTTCAGGGTGGATCTCACAAAGAATTAACTCTGACAGCTTTTGTAACTATAGCACTAGTAGAAAGCAAAGATGTTGTTAGCGTAAGTGAAATATTCAATGCCCGTCAGAAATGCACAATAGATATCCATAACACAAAAGTATATAACCCAAGTATTTCATGTCTGTTATAAAAAGACTGAAATTTAATCATTTAAAGAATCGTGATGTCTATTTAGAAAATATAAAGAATATCCATCACTTATAAAGAATATTCATCTCTTTTTTATGTAGAATACTCGACTGGACTATGTGCTACAGAGATCTAAGGGATATCTAGAGCAGCATGCTAAATATCTGAGAGATTCTTATGATATTGCCATCGTCAGTTATGCTCTTGAACTTACCAGAAGTCCCATGGCTACGGAAGTGATGAAGAAATTGGAACCCCAGCCTTGTACGATTTTTATAGACAAAAGCTCGTCTATGGTTTGCTTAGAACTAGTTTTGTCGCCTGTGTGGCGCAGTGGTTAGAGCGTCTGCTCTAGAGTCGCGAAGTAAGGAGTTAATCCTTACGTCGCTGGTTCGAATCCCACTGTGGGACGTGGAGACCAGTCCTTCGGATGAGACCGTATAAACCGAGGTCCCGTGTCGCAGTAGGTGCTGGCACGATAAAGATCCCTCACTGCTCAATGGCCGTAAGTGCCGAGCATAGGACAAAATTTGCAGCTCTAGCTCCACCGGCAAGTGCTGGCGTCTCCATATGAGTGAAAAATTCTCGAGAGGGACGTTAAACAACGTACAAAAGAACTTGTTTTACTTGGAGCTTTTTTTTTTTTTTTTTTTAAATTTATACTTGGTCTTTTATAACCAACAATACTTTCAAACATTGTTAATTCTCAGGCTTACAATTTGAGACGTATTGTGGAAAATCATAAAATAAAATGGAAGACACACCACAAGAGAAGAATATGCACCTAATTTAATTTTTTGATGGTTTTTTTTTTATTTTCATTGTAAAGAAAATTATATTTCTTTTTCTGCAGCATCAGCCTTCACCACCACGACAACACCCAAACCTTGTATGTAACATATTTTTCTTATGCTGTAGAGTTCATATTAGTTTCTTTCTATATTGATTACAATTTCTTTTCTAAAGAAACAAAGTGGTGTATTGCTCTATGTTTTATGCAATAGTCTTTTGCCAGTTATTTACGATTTTTTTATTTAAGTCATTACGATGACAAGTAAACTTAACAAAATACAATGTCATTGTCTGTATATTAATTTTCTACAGATTAGTTAACCGTCACCAATTAATATAATTATTATTATTGATTTCTACCAATGCTATGAGATCTGTCAAATGTATTTCCCCTCTAAATTTTTCTTATTCAGTTTGGATTTTTTGTAAACTGCCAGAGATCTGAATGTTGCATTCTTTTACTTGATTTAACTTACAAGTAGATAGAAAATATAGGTAGACATGAATATTTAAGAAATTCATGTAAGTTCCCGTTGGAGGAATAGTTAGAGAAAATATCCCGATAGTCGAGAGATGTTGTTGGCAAATAAAACCAAGCCCAAAGGTGTATATTTTCCAACAGTTCCGAGGAAGAGGGAATTATTATGCCCCCGGATCGAAAGATCCCGGGGGTATATTGTTTTTGTCCTGTCTGTCTGTTTGTCTGTTTATCTGTTTGTCTGTTTGTCCGTTTGTCTGTTTGTCCGTTTGTCTGTTTGTCTGTCTGTTGTCAACTTTAACCTTGCCCATAACTTTTGATTGGTTGGAGCTATGACTTTCATATTTCACATGTGTATTTCTTGTGACAAGACCTTTCTTTGGGTACCATCATATTTGACCTTTTGACCTTGACCTTGGAGTTTGACCCACTTTTGCAAAATTTTATGAGACTTTAACCTTGGCCATAACTTCTGAACAGTTGGTGCTTGGGGTTTCAAACTTCACACGTGTATTCTTTGTGACAAGGCCTTCCTTTGGATACCAACAACTTTGACCTTTTGACCTTGGAGTTTGACCTACTTTTGAAAAACTTTAACCTTGGCCATAACTTTTGAATGGTTGATGCTAGGGCTTTCATACTTCACATATGTAATCCTTGTGACAAGACCTTCCTTTGGATACCAACCACTTTGACCTTTTGACCTTGACCTAGGAGTTTGACCTATTTTTGAAAAACTTTAACCTTGGCCATAACTTTCGAATGGTTGGTGCTAGGGCTTTCATACTTCACATATGTAATCCTTGTGACAAGATCTTCCTTTCGATACCAACCACTTTGACCTTGACCTTGACGCTTGACTTTTATTTAAAAAACTTTAACCTTGGCCATAACTTTTGAACAGTTGTATCTAGGTCTTTCAAATTTCATAGGTGTATTCCTCGAGACAAGACCTTTCTTTGGGTATCAACATTTTTTATCTTTTGGCCTGGATTTTGACTTGCATTTGAAGAAACTTTAACCTTCGCCATAAGCTGCCTTACGGGGGCATCAGTGTTTCACAAACACATCTTGTTTTTATTCTGCTTCAGCGAATATTTGAAGTTTTATAAAGAGAGATGCAGAAGCTAATTTTGGACGTCATCAGATGTGTCTTATGACATACAAAGAATGCTACTCCTCGTTCATGTATCTCGAGCATTAGTAAAGGTGCGATTTGATGTGAACCCGTAGTAATTTTTCCCACCAGTATGCGTCACTATCAAAAGATACCTCTATGCTTTTCCTAATGAACACAGTCAAAATTTGAGGAAATCGATTTATCGGTTTAAATTTAATGATAATTTGTTTATGACGTTTGTGATTTATTGAAGAATAATGGCCGCGGCATCGCTTTGACGTTTGCGATAACCGTAGTAGAACTATCATTAAAGTTATTTATAGATAGAAGAATTATAGAAAGCGATATTTTATCTTAAAATTTATTATAGATATAAAGACTTTTAGACAAGAATATTTATCTTTTGAATAGAGAAGCATCATGATGATTTCATTTAGAAATACATGGTTATACATCTATAAAATTCAAACATTCTGCTGTTGAACGTCAGTAAACTTGTGACTTTTTTTTTTTTTTTTTAGAAATTACTCCCTATATTGTTCGCTTATTCTATACTTTGATCTACATTAAGACTGGTCTCTTATCAATTTCTCTATTGTCATGCCGTCCTTCGTTGTGTTTTGTTCCATGTTGCTTTTGTTTTCTTATTTAATTACGAAATGATGCATAACAGTATTTCTTTCTGTTAAAGCATGCACGGAACCATCTGCTGACATTGTATTTGTTCTGGACTCCAGTGGAAGTATCGGTTCCAGCAACTTTCAGAGTATTCTGTCCTTTGTTCGTGACATGACCAGTTCATTTGATTTTAGCAATGGTAAAACAAAGGTATCCGTTGTGACCTTTAGCTCTAGGGTTTATGAGGCATTCCCTTTAAATGCATATCAGAGTGCCTCAGCCATTGCAGATGCTGTTTCCAGGGTACCGTACTATGCGGGTGGCACAGACACTGCATCAGCACTTCGTTATGTGGAGAACTACAGTTTTATCGCATCAAAAGGGGCAGCAATGAATTCCAGCAGGATAGTAATTGTAATAACAGACGGACAGTCTAATGATCCTGCCGCCACAAAAATAGCTGCTGAAGCACTGCGATCTATTGGAGTCACTACGTATTCCATTGGAATCGGAAGTGGAATTGGACAGAGAGAGTTAGAAAATATTGCCTCTGATATTAATCATGTATTCAGAGTGTCCAATTACAATGCTCTTCAACAGGTACAGCTGTCCCTTGGTGTTGAAAACTGCCATGGTAAGTTGTGCAAAATTGTCATATTAGGGCCATTATTTGTAAAACATAATATTACATGATTAGGTTTATTCTTAATTTACTGTCAAATTTTCTGAAAGATGCAAATTAATATTGATGATATAAGCAAATTCATAACTCATTCCTTTGCAGTTGTTGATATCTACTTGCCATGGGAGTCATCCGGAAAATCTCCAAATTATCTTTGGAATAGTCCTAACACTCGAGCAACACCAGTAGATATTGAGACGTCAGCATACACACTGCTCTATTATGTAAAAAGTCAGAAATATGTCCAGGCGCAGAAAATACTGAAATGGATTCTTAAACAAAGAAATGCGAATGGAGGCTTTGCTTCCACTCAGGTACAGCAGACATACATTTAAACCTTATCTCCGTTACCTCTAAGGTAGACTTTCAGGTTAAACATTAGTACTACTATAAGAAAATTGTACTAAATATCGTTATTTTGAACTTAACATTGTATTACATTTTTAGAAATGATTTTCAAAAAAGGCCTGTAAAGTAAAAGTGCAAACTGCAAAATGATACTTTTAGATGTAAGCATCAATTTAACTTAATAAAAAAAATAAGTAATATATCTCTTGATACAATGATACACTATTTTATTAATTAGGATACTGTTCTGGCCTTACAAGCGTTGTCCGAACTGACGCATTCCCAGTCTGGTAATTCACTCCTAGATTTAAATATCATCGTCAATACTCACAATGAAAGTCACAGTGTCAAGGTCAATGAAAAAAACAAGATGGTTCTTCAGAAATTTCAGGTAAGATATCGATTGCCAAACATATTTTAACAGCATGTGAGATTCAGTTTGATAATCAAAATATTGACATAGGTTAACAATAGATTTAAATTTTAAAAAATACATGACATTGTTATCCTATATCCATAGGATTTGTAACAAGCAGACATTTAGAATATAATTGAGTTCTATAAACGTCCAAACAATAATGTAGCAAATATTCCGGTTATTAACAGTCTTTAAATTGAATGAGATTTTAAGTAGAATTTATTAAGTTTAAATGGATTTTCGTTTTTATTTTATGTTTTTTGTTATAAAAACCAATTTCCAAAAATGTAAATAATTTTCTTTGATACAGCCCTCTGGAGTTCCAGACATCGTTAATGTTACAGCTAGTGGTCATGGAGCAGCTTTAGTCCAGGTATGTGAAAATACTTTCTGTAATAAATGATTTTTATGACCTACATTCCTTTAATATATCTGAAAAACTTGAAGACATAGACAATTTGCATTTTAATGATTACTAATATAATAATTGTATCAAGATGATATATTACACCGTTGTAAAATTCGGAGAGTCTTAGGAGGGGTGATGCAAATCCTTAAAACTTTCAATCAAATGCGTTTACTTGGTCATTTTAATTATTATGGACTCGTAGTTTGATAATGGCTTCATGTTTCGGACTGCTATTATGTCGCCATAATCAAAACCTACGTTCTGGAATATCAATATTCTATGCATTTTCATTCTTAACTGACGACTTGCCGCCAAAATACTTTACAATACACGTTTAAACTTGTTGTTTTTAAGGTGGCAGTAAATTATAATGTTAAGGAACAAATAGAGAAACCGGCCTTCTTGATTGATGTTAGTAGTCTGAAAGAAACCATGGAAACTATAACTACAAGAATGTGTACAAGGTACAAACGTCTTTTTGACAATGAGAAAGAAATGAGATGTAATTACATGTGTATAAGTATATCTTAAAATGTATGTAACTCGTTTTTATCCGGATCAACGAGTATTAACAATTTGTTTAGCTATAATACATCCGCAGCTGTGGGAAGCGGTATGGCTATTGTAGAGTACGGTGTCCCGTCAGGGTTTGAAGTTGACATGGAGAGCATCAGCTATCATCAAAATCTCAAGAAATCAGAGCTCGATGACAGAAACGTGGTCCTATATTTCGATGAGGTCAGTTATTCATATATAACTTATCAGGAAATATATAAAGAAGATGTTCATGTAGCAGAATCAATGATTCATGTTATGTACTTTGTTCTAACTTTGAATATGTGCCCAGACCGTAACTCGTACGTGTCATTCATTGATATCAAAGTTAGGGTTAAACTATTATATTTTTAATGTTTTGGAAGATTGCATGAAAAAATCATTTCCTGTTTTCCCCCATGCATCTGATTCCATAAATACAGCTACACTTTTATATACATTTTGGTAGATAACCAGGAACGAGGCTTGTGTCACAGTAAACGTGGAAAGAAGCACCTTGGTTGCAAATATTAAACCTTCACCTGTTCGTGTGTACGAGTATTATAATCCAGGTATATTATTTGATCTTCTTTTTTTTTATCATCTGTGGCTTAATCAACTGTAATGTAACCGAAAAAGAGCAAGTCTAATTCTGTCTTACAAGGAATATGCCTTGGATTATGGAAGAAGAATTAAGATTTTCCGAGGAACCTAAATGAAAGATGAAATGCAGAATTCTTTTTAACTCTGTGAATTTTTTATCATGATAAGACGCTTCATAAAATGGAAAGAAAACATAACTCTCATTTGTGCTTCTTGAATTCATATCTTAATGAATGTGTGGAATCTTTGGGTTTCCTTTTGCAAGAGCATGTTCTGAGTACGATCAATTTTTAAACCTCGACAAGCTACAAACAAATAAGTAAATGTTACAAGAATTTCAACAATCCCGTTTAAAGTATGTTTTTGCTAATTAAACTGTCGTTATTATGACCTTATTTGTGAATACAACCGATCGTTGGGTCGTATTTTGTCTGACATAACTAACACCATTTATAATATCATTGCTTTTATACTAAATTTGGTTACGGAGTACTTTGTATACCTGATCAACACATAGGGTTTATGAGGGTTGTGACCGGTCAACAGGGGATGCTTACTCCTCCTTAGCACCTGATCCCATGTCTGGTGTTTCCAGGGTCTTTGTATTTGACCTGTATTTTATTCCTTTTGTTTGGTGGATTTGTGGGTTTGACCGCTGTTCGTTATCTTCACCTTTTAAATTTATCAAACATATATTTCTAGGAATCTTGTCACAGTATACAATATGGACTTTATAGATGGTAAATGTGAATTGATATTGATCAAGAAAAATGTCACTGTTGATATTTTTCTGCTTAATATTAAACCAAATCAAATACCTCTAAGGTATTTTTTTTCATCATTTAGTCCAGGTTTGAATAAAAGGATACGTATGTATAGCAATAAAATTATCATCAACATTATTACATTCATCCATTTCATTGTGTCTTTCCAGAACACCAAGTAACAACTTTTTATACACCCTCCATCTTGAAGCAAACCAGTTATTGTGATGTTTGTCCAACTTGCCCATGTGTAAGTTGAAAACCTCCTCTTGGACATTAGATATCCATTTCCAGTCACTTGATCACAAAGTTTGGTGTGGAATATACTAATTTGAAGCGGAAATGTAAATTGTACATTATCTAACAACGTAAAAAGATTTCAGTGATATTATTCTATATGTTTATAACTGTAATTGTATAAGAAAACAAGATGAAGTGAATGAAAACTGGATTTTAATATTTTTGTATCTATCAACATATTTCTAATCCTGTATTTTGCAGGGCACAAAGACGAAATGAAGGCTACGTACGCAATCAAATCAAACGGAATAACAGTCCAGATAATACCTTTTGATACTTGTTTTCAATAAATTTTGCTGAGTTACTAATACTCATTTGCTAATATTTTTTGGTCTTTGATTCACTTTGAATGATCTCGAATTATTAACTATTTGTATGCTGCATATTTACATGCATGCTACGCAAATTTCATTTTTTAAGAGAGTGAAAACTATTTATGAAGCGATAAAAACTATTTCGCAAAGAAAATGATGTTTCGGATGACAATCAAATGGAGGCTATCATCAGAATCCCGCGTTAATAACTCTGTCCCAAGACTATGAATTGAGAACACACTTGAGTCAAAATTTAGATTTTTTAATATATTGAATTTTTTTTTGACTATCTTTTCTTGAAATTGCAAGTCTGTTTAATATTCAAATACAAACACATGCCGAAATTTTTATTTTATTTTCAGAAGTTATACTTACGTGAAATTTTAGCTTAGTTTGTTCTCAGTTTATAGTTTGGGGGACCAGATTCAGAAGTTACTTGGACACCGGGTATTCATTAATTCACCAACATTCTTTTATCCTCTCGCCACTTATTCTGAATTAACTGGTGGTAGGTATCTTGAATCTTTTTCATTGCCTCAGAAATATATGGTGCATAATCGTAAGATTGCTTAATGACAACCATGCATTCCTTAACAAAAATACTATAATAAACTATATTTAACTATATTTAAAGTTTGGTGAACAATAGTTAATTATAGTAAATTAAAGTTATCACTATAGTAAATCAAAGTTTTCAAAGTTGTCAATATAGTTTTAAAGTTACCACTGTAAAGCAAAGTTTTAATTTATCACTATAGTAAATCAAAGTTTTCAAAGTGATCACTATAGTAAATCTAAGTTTTCAAAGTTATCACTATAGTAAATCAAAGTTTTCATAGTGATCACGATAGTAAATCAAAGTTTTCAAAGTTATCACTATAGTTAATCAAAGTTTTCATAGTGATCACTATAGTATTTCGAAGTTTTCATAGTTATCACTATTGTACCATAGTGATCACTATACTAAATCAAAGTTTTCAAAGTTATCACCATAGTTAGCCAAAGTGTCAAAGTTATCACTATAGTTAACTATAGTTTTCATAGTGTCAAAGTTATCTATAGTTTACTATAGTTAACTAAAGTTTACTATAGTATTTTTTGTAAGGGAATATCTTTGTAAGCTGAGGATATAAAAGGGTAATTTTTTTATCTTTCTAAGAAAGCTGGCATAAGTTTTGCGAAAGACGTCGAACGTTCGGAGAAAAATCTATGGTCATGGGTTTGACAACGGTTTTCTTAAAACAAGACAGAGCATTTATAAAACGCTCATGGGTTAAAATGTCTTACCAATTTGTTAATCAATACATTCACAAGGTTTGAATTTTTTAAGCTTCATCAATCGTTCAATTATGTTGATAAAATAGATAAACAGTGAGTGGCAGTTTCTGGCAAGGCTTTATTAATTAATGTGCAAAAAGGATCATCATCATCAATAAAATGATGCACATAAGGTAAATATTGATATATACAATGATAAATGTATACAATGTTATGCAATACAAACTGAATTGCAACGAGCAGGCAACAATGGGGTGAACATGTATTACAAAAACAATACTGTGAACGAACTTTTATTCGTGTGCGAGAAATATTCGCGAGTTTCGCGACCTACATTTACTCGCAAATATTAATCGCTGCGAACCATTTATTTTGCTTTGTATTTGTAGAGAATGTTTCATGACTCGCGGAAATTAATCGCCGCGGATTGATTTTAAACTGACGAATCGCGAATAAAAAATGACGCGAATAATAGTTAGTTTACAGTAATTTACATCGACATTTGCAACATTTCATTTTGTAGAAAGTTCATAGAACATTAATACCATGACAGAAGCCAATTTATTTGCCACAGATCCTGGAAAACAGTATAAGCAGCGGACTTCAAGCTAAATTCGGCCTGTACGAAGTCCATGTATATCACAGTGGAATGAATCCCGAATAAAGCCATGACGCGGACATATTTTCCCAAGGACAGTCGAGTGAATGGAAGTTGACTGAAAAAGAAAAAAAAAGAAAACAGCAACATCGGTTTGTTCAGACAAAAAGAATAATTTATTAACATTTGGTAAATTGGGAGGATGTGTTGGATGGTGAACTTTGTAGGATAAAAGAAGATTGAAAAGAAAGAGCCAGGCGCGCTTGTGTGACTGATGCAGGTAAAAGTAGTATTGAAATTTGCATGAGAATTATCTTTCCTGTTCCATATATATTTGTTTCCATAAAGGAACCTAAGTCATATTCGAGTTAAGGCTGATTATTAAGTTTCTGTCTTGCATTTTAAGTTTTCTTTCTTTGGAATCAAAAAAATCATTATGATTGGCTTGTCTTAAAAATAAATATTTTATACCAGTTCCTAACTTATCAATTTGTCTTTCCGTCTTTGCTGAATTGTGAGGAAATGTCTTATCTTATCAAACCAAAATGATTACTTAGCTGGCAATGTGAGCATTGCATTCTTATTATGCCTTAAATTCGCATTTAACAATGATCGGTATAGGGACTTTTTTGATCCTGTACTTATTGCTAATATGTGAGTATTTTATTTTTGACAATGGACAATCCATGATCAGTAAGGAAATGTTCCTCGGTTAAGATTTTCAATAGTGCAAAAATCTAGGCAATTCATGGGGACGGAAGATGAGTAAATAAATGCGAATTTGAAACGACTAAGGGATCATACTTCATGGCAGAGCACACTGTGGGTTTGACCGGTCGGCAGGGGATCCTCACTCCTCCATTTCACCTGATCACACCTCTGATGTTTTTGGAGGTCCTTGCTTGCTCTGCTCCCGATTTGTATTGTTTTAATGGACTTTGAGCTTGAATACTGTTCGTTATTTCCATATTTCATTCTGAAGTAATTCAAAATTCCTTTTAAACCCCAGATTAGTTGTATTCATGAGGTGGTACTATTTATAAAAATATGAATTGGCATATTCTATCTAACACTCTCAACTTCAAAATAATATGACAACTAAACACTCTATCATATTTTTAGCTATGATTAGGTTGAAATATTGCAAAGAAAGTGGCTCCCATTAGCGACGTAAATCAAATCACTTGACTCGACACTAATCTAGTGTTTCGGCGGTGTGATATATACAAGGTTTATGATTTTGATAGTTTATTAATTAGCTGCAATTCCGCCATCATCAGGAGCCTATTTGCACATCTTTTATACAGATTATTAAATTAGTAGAAGAGCATATCACTCAGAATCTTCTTGTGTTTAATTGGGGGAGGATTGTATTGCAATCCTCAAACTTCAGCGACCACACAACCTATTGTGTCATTAAACACAATAAGGATCTGAGTGATATGCTCTCCTCTTAACTAATTTAATAATCTCTGTAACAGATGTGCAAATAGGCTCCTGATGAGGGCGGATTAACTATTAAAATCTTAAGCCTCGTATATATCACACCGCCGAAACACTAGACTAGTGTCGAGTCAAGTGATTTGAGGTACGTGGTTGATGGAAGTCACCTTCTTTGAAACTTAAAGACAATGATTCGTTATCTCATTGTTATTATGCTTAAAGATTCAAAATCTTCGGTTTGTGCGACATATTTTAAATCGATTCAAGCAACAACAAGTTGCTGTCCTTTAAAAAAGGACTGCAATACGTGGACCATATGGACCATATGCATGTGTTTCTAAACGAAATTCGACGAAAATTTCTAGATTTAGTGGTTTTACAAAGGTATAATTAAATTTACGTTTTTACATGTATCTTATAATTTTCATTGTTATTTAAGGCTGTACTGGTAAAAAAAAAATCATGACCATGAAATGATATGAATATGAAATGTTGATATAGGTATCTATCACAGTTGTAATGTAGCCTTTAAAATTAACAACAGAATTAAAATAGGCTTAAGCGTGCAGGTATCGTAATGATTGAATTTTAACTCCATTGGCGGATCCAGGGAGGGGGGGTCCGGTGTTGGAACCCCCTTTATTTTTGCAGAAAGAGGAAGAGAGCGAGAGAATTTATCTGTAATATAGATATTTTTACGTCTAGTATTTTCAATAAAGTAAGTACTTCAATCTCTGCTTTTTCTGCTCTCCAGATAGAGTTTTGCTTATTGCTTTCTCCGTGTACCTTCGCAAATCCGAGCCCGGGCCTCGGCCACCCACGCGTAACATGAAAGATTTCACTTTGGTATCATCGGAAGACTCCGGCGAACGTAGGGCTATGCCATTTTTGGACCATCTACTAAAGTAACTAACTTTAAGTAGTATGCATAAAGAGTCATGAAAGGGACTATCCATAAGAGAATATTTATCTCCTAATATTATGGGGATATTTTAATCAATGAAGTGAAAGGTTCAAAATGTCCCTGTAGTATGTGGAGAATGGGACTCGCTTTTTCTTTAAAAAAAAATAATCTTTTGTTATAATTTAAATATATAAGTTTTGATTTGCGTTGGAAGCTCCACCGCACTTTTTGTTGCGGGAAGGTTCAAATACGGAAAATCAAACATTTAAAAGAAATCAAAATGTACCGAAAAGTTAGACGAAGTCCCCCTCCCAGAAATAGGATTTTACAGTGTGGTGCACAGGTTGTTATTTTAATTAATTAATTTATTTTTGCAAGTAAACTCTTTTTGGAGGTTGCCCCCTTTGAAAACCGTTGCCACGGCTTGAATTTAAGTGCCTGAGTTGTGACCTAGAACCCCCCTTTTTTTCTTAAAAAAAAAAAAAAACTGCTGGATTTGACCCTGTACTGGAACACTAGAGGGTCTCGAGTTATCTAAAGCGATGCTAGGTTATCGATTAACTTGATCAATTTTAAAAACACACAAAAAAGATTAATTTTGTGCATGTTTATTATTTTTTTTTTATCTCTGTCTCTTTTTAAATAACGGAATGGTCTTCTCAGCAAAACAACTTGTTTTTCCGAGCTCGCCAGAAGGTCTGAGGAGATGCGGTTGACATTCTCATCGCACGTGTGTAGACTATTTGGTCTTAAAAGCACAAGTGGTGTGTACTGTTTGCTATTGACGCTTAGACTGGTGACGGTATTTGCTACCGTATGTACACCAGTTTCATAATACATGTATGTGCAGTTTTTTTCGAGTGGAAATTGGATAAAATTAAAAGTTGAATATCTTGAATATGGGGTAACCCATATTTATTCTTGTAACAACGCCTGTTAATGCATCCATGGACGAGTTTATTGGTTACTCTGAAAGGTGGCACAGGTTAACCTTCAGTTAACATTTTCTACAATGATCTGCCTACTTGAGTAATTGTACTTTCATAGCAAAATTGTTAAATTTTATCCCCGATTGGCCAATAGTTTTGTCATTTAAAAAATCAGGCTATTTCGATACATACATGCATGCATCACCCATAACGGCTGGGACTTGACATCTATGCTAAATTTATACGGAGATTCTATCGATGATACATGTGTAGCACAGATCTGTAGTTCGCAGAATTTTGGGTTTTTGAAATGTTTCTCCCTGTTCCCCACCTTAAAAGCCTTTATCAAGCTATATTTGGAATGCTGTCTATCAAATTATTTTGCTAACCTTGATGCACAAAACTAATGACGGTAAACATGGTAAAGACTATCTAGTTGAACTAAGATTTTAATTAACATGTTCAAGCTGTTAAGCTATCTATATAAGTTCTTCCTACTTATTTGAAATGCTTGTGCCATAGAATTTAGTTATTATATAAGGATAATAATATGTATTAATCTTGGTTACGCCAAAGAAAACAAACATGTAAATACGATGTGCAGATTTTAGAGCGAGGTTTGCCAAATGATTGGCATATTCTAATTCGAAAAGGGCGAACTGTTCTAAGGGCAAGTTGTCTGAGAGGCGAACTCTCTAGCATTCTCGCGCATGCGTAGCCTGACGTAAGCCCATGGCATCCGGTTTAACCCCACTTATATATTTTCTGCGTGGACCTCAGGGTCCACGCAATAAAATGTTTGAAAAAATGATTTCTCAGCAAACATGGGGTGCTTTTGAAGCATCTGCATGTTTGCCTTAACAATACGTAAAATATTTAAGAGTAACATACCATATAAACATTTTTCATAAATTGTCTAGGTATAAATACCATCAAAGCTGACTGTCCAGACAACTGGATCAAGCATATTGGACAATGCTACTTATTTGTGGACCACACAACGTTAGACTGGAATGACACTTTTGTAAATTTTCTATTCTGATTTGTACGTAGAAAGTGAAAAGAAACAATGCAGTATTACATGTACTCAGGATTATAGAAAAAATATAGAACTTTTGTAAATTGTATTTTAAAAAAAATATAAAATAATAGTGCGTAACCTTTTATATCAAGACTGAAATTTGTTTACACTCATTAATTATTTCACTAATTGATAGTGAATTGATTAGAAATTCTATATATTTTAGAACTTCTGCAAAAATTTTGATTCTGAGCTTGCTGAAGTAGAGACGGCAATTGAAGAAAACTTTTTAGAGCAGCATGTGAGACAACTAGGAAAAGGAAGTAAGCTTTATCAATAAACACCATACACAGAATAATGATTGTTTCAGCTCAGCAGTGAACGTTATCCTTACTTTAAAAAAGTATTTATATATTTTTAAATTTCACTACGGATGGGTATATTTTTTTTACTTTTTGATTTTATATCATGACTGGTCCTCATTCATTTGTTTAATTTTTACAGTTGGATTCTGGCTTGGTGGGAGTGACATAATTTTAGAGGGAGAATGGATGTGGATGACAAGTAAGACACTTCTGAGTATGGCGTACACGGCCTGGAAGCCAGGAGAGCCTAATAATGAAGGAAACAACGAACATTGCTTGGAAATACAATGGAACAGTTTTCTTTGGAATGACACACCATGTGATCAACAACGTCATTTTATTTGTGAAAGAGCGTGAGTGCCTGAAAAGTTTGACCTCATTTGACTTTATCGTTTTTAGCTCACCTGAGCCGAAGGCTCAAGTGAGCTTTTCTGATCACATTTTGTCCTGCGTCCGTCTGTCTGTACACTTTTCACATTTTCGACTTCTTCTCAAGAACCACTGGGCCAATTTCAACCAAACTTGCCACAAAGTATCCTTGGGTGAAGGGAATTCAAGTTTGTTCATATGAAGGGCCATGCAATCTTTCAATGAGAGATAATTACAAATTAGTGAAAAATTAATAGCATCTTTTTAAAATCTTCTTCTCAAGAACCACTGGGCCAGGAAAGTTGAAATTCATGTGGAATCATCCTCAGGTTAGTGTAGATTCAATTTTGACCCCCTGGGGGTAGGAAGGGGCCACAATGGACGATCAAAGTTTTACATAGGAATAAATAGGAAAAAATCTTTAAAAATCTTCTTCTCAAGAACATCAAAGCCATGATTGGGCATATTGATATGGAATTTAGTCATGTTGGAAGCATCCTCAGTTAGAGTAGATTCAAGTTTGTTCAAATGATGACCCCCCAGGGTTATAAATTTGAATTGATGCCCATCTTGGGCATCTTGGGCATCAATTTTGAATGCCCATCTTGGTTTTTGAACTTGGAACAAATAATATAGTGCAAAATATCCTTAAAAAAAAGATCCATAGGCAGCAACACTCAGGAAAGTTCTTTCTCAGATTTTCAGAGGGTCTTTCTCTCCATATTTATGCATTTTTCCAACCCGAATTGCGCTCTAACCTAGCCTCGTTGACAATTTCCCTTTAGTTTTTGAAGGAAAACATCCCATTTATTTCTATTGTGGCCAGGCCCTAGCCTTTCCCCCATAACATATCTTGAACTCTCCCCCCCAGAATGTCTGATTTAAATCCTCGTAGTCTGCACTTGCAAATTGATTTGAACATTCATGAGTCTGCTATTTATCGAAAGAAAATTAACAATAAACTGTTTTGTAGTTTCTGTACAACAATAAGCACATGAAATATGACGTTTTTGAATGTGTATAAGCATATAAAAATTTGTATCCATAACATATTCGTTAAAATTTGATCCTGCACTGCTGTATGCTTGTACGTTTATAGAATTTTATTGCTAAGATTTGAGTCCCTCTTAAGGCCCCATCCTACCCCGGGCTCCATGATTTGAACGAATTTGAATTTGTACCTTGCTTGAAGTTTAATATGACTTATCATAACCCTGTAGTTCTTGAGAAGGTTTTTAAAAGAATTTTCATATATCCAATATACAAATTTAATCTTTTCTTGTAGCCTCACCTTAACCCTGGGTTCATGACTTAAGAAAAATTGAATATACTCTGCCTGAGGACGCTTACATATAAATATCCCTTAATATGACCCTGTTGTTCTTCTAAAAAGTTTTGAATGTTTTATTAGATATGTTTCTAGGTATACAAATCCTTATAAGTAGACCTGTCCTAATCAAGGGACCAATTTAAACAAACTGTTAGTATGCACTACCCCGGGATAATTAATACCACAAAGCATGGCCCTTTGGTGTTTTTTTCTAATTTATAATCGTATGTACAACTATCAACCCTTATTGAGACCACACAATTCCATGGGGTCCGTGATTTGAATAAATTTAAAATTGCAATAAGGCCATTCCATGTTTTTTCTCTGTTTAGCGTCCACTCATCTTTCAAAAACCTACCAACCTATTCGCAAAAAACACACAAACCAAAAAACAAAACAAAGACTTTATAGTCGTAAAAGTGACGTCATTCAAAAAGATTTGATTTGGTAAATCTATTTTCTTCGTTGAAAGATCTATTCTTCAGCAAAGCCGATATATTAAATGCTTAAAATTTTCCTAATATGACATATTGTAGACAAATATTTATAGTAATTGACAGAATTCAAAGATTTTGACCAGAATAACCGATTTCAGGACTCCTGATTCTGTTTGTTTTTTCTGATATGGGGTGTCAAAAACCAAGGCGCACGCGGGAGCTAAACATAGGGGAAAAAAACTTGGAATGGCCCAACTAAGGATGCTTGAAATTCATCGTAATTCCCCTGTTCTTGGAAAGAGAAATTATAACTTTTTTTTTCTTTTATGTGTTTATGCTAAATTTTGATCCTATTTTAGCCCGACCCTTGATAAGGGTCAATCATTAAAAAAGATTAATCTGCACTATATAAAAAATTTCCTTTCTTTTGGTTATTGATAAGAGTTTCAAATGCCTCATATATGTTAATATTTCTTAATTACCTTGCCTTCAAAGAAGGCGTGGCTATTTAACAACAGCTATTTTAAAAAAAATGAATCCCTTTACTCATGGATGCTGTGACAAGTTGGTGAAAAAATTTCTGGAGAAGGATTTGAAAAAAAGGAAAGTTTACAGATGACACAATAGTAAAGCTTATTTGAGCTTCTGGTGAAGATGAACTAAAATTATTAAGTTATCAAGTTTAAACTATTTTTGGTTATTTTGATTATTTGTGAAATAAAATACCATCATTTGGAATATTGCTCAAATGGCTAGTGATGAACCCTTTTTAGGTCACCTGGGTCACTCAGGTGACATATTGCTATCTGTTTTCGTCCGTCGTCGTGCGTCGTTCTTCGCACGTCGTGCGTTAACATTTGAACATTTTCAATTTCTTCTCTGAAATTACTGAACCAATTTCAACCAATTTTGATATGAAGCATCTGTGGGTAAAGGGGAACAAAAATTGTTAATTTCATGGTCTCTGCCCCCTTGAGGCCTGAGGGGTGGGGCCAAAACCATAAAAAAATATGCAATCTTCAAAAATCTTCTTCTTTACTCCTGAACATCAAACAGTCAAACTGTTTGCATGATTATATTAAGTATTGAGCCCTCTACCAAAATTGTGAAATTCATGGCCCCTGGGCTCAGGGTTCAGGCTCTAGGGTGGGGCTAAGTTGGATGTATGTTGAAAATGCATAATATATTAGAAGATCTTCTTCTTAACTCCTGGACTTCAAGGAGGTTAAATGTTTTTATGCTTATAATGAGCAAAGAGCTCTCTATAAAAATTGTGAAATGTATGGCCCCTGGGGTTGGGGTTCAGGTCCCAGGGTGGGGCAAACTTGGGTATATATTGAAAATATATTTTAAGAAACTATGGTCTTTTATTGCTATATTGTGATCATGCAGTTAAGCTGTTGGCATAATTACAATAAACAAAGAGCCCTTAACACTGTGGAATGCATGGCCCCTGGGTTTTAGGGTTCAGGCCCCAGGGAGAGGATATAAGTTGCACAATCAGTAGGGATGCATGTATGTTAAAAAGGACAATATTTATTTTGAACTTATATGTAAGAAATATTTATGTTACGTTTGATGTTTTTAATCAGTGTATTAAAGTTATTCACGCGAAAAAGATAACAAATGTAATCTTTAAAAAAAAAATTAAAAAAGTTTATCCGGGAATATGTTTGCTTGCCGTAGAAAATCCACGCATGCGCAATAACGAGCGTCTGATCGCAGAAGAAGAAGATCGTCTGAGACTGATAGACTATTTACCTTGACTTGAAGTGTTTTGAATATAGTTACGCTTTTTTTTTTTTTTAGGTCTAAGGCTTTGTATTACGAACGGTGGGTATAAGTATTTCGATTTTTAAAGTTACACAGTATGAAATATTACATGTGCTTTTGTGTAAATATATCGTGGCAATTATTAGATTAATTTCCGCTTTCTTCAAATGGCGCAGAAATGGGCTACGAATAAAATGCTGATTTGAACGTTGTTGTCTGAATTTTATATGCAATCATAAATGATTTGCACTGGTTGTTAAATACATGTATGCGTTTTTGCTTTTTTCTTTATTGTGTATGTCAAAATTATTCTCTGATTGGAAACGTGATGAAATAATCAGTTCGAATTATCTCTTACAGTAATGGAATCCGTGTGGTTTCGCCCCATTACCTATTCGCCCTGAGTGGATTCGCCCCACTTGGTTTTCTTTAACTTCAGTGTACATGATGTTCATGTTGTCATAATTCGTTTTTTAGTGGGTGTTTAGAATAACATATTAATGAGCACAATTAAAACAAAAAATGACAGATGATACAAGATAACTTTATATTCCAAAAATCATGAAAATAACAACATCTATGTTTATAAGTAAAATAAGTAAGTTTAGCTATATAAATTTTATTTCAACAATCTCCATCTTTTTTCTGAATTATTGAACGAAAATTTACTTTATGAGAAATGTAATGTAGTCAAATAAGGTGTAGTCACTGTGTAGATCGCTTTGGACAAATCAAAAACTTTCCCCACAGCACACACGCAAAAATCAAGTATAGAACATTAGCCATTTGTCATAAAGTATAGTTAGAATAATCTAACTGTGTCTCAGGACAGGCCCTCACAACAGTTAGAATGCCTCCCATATACCCGCAGTGTAGCAGAAAATTGCATAATCGCTCCGAAACGATTTTGGAGAAGATAAATAAAGTTGCATTGAAAATAACTATCAAATTAATAATTACAAACCTTTTTGAGACTTTGGATATCTTTCACCCAAAAATTTAATCTATATAATGGAAGAATTCAACACTTTTTCTTAACGTTTTTTACTCGTTTCAAATTTGCGCACCATGTTGACATTCGGAACTCTCTGGAATTTTTATAGTAAATGCACTGAGCTAGAGTTATCTCCTGTGTTTTCTTTGCAACATTGCAAATACACGGAAAGCATTTTTTTGTTAGTCTGAGTCCGTAGGGCATTTATCATTTTAACGATAGAATATTCTATCTAAACAAAGTACTAGAATCCACATGTGCAAAAATTTGACACCTTTCTTTACTAATTGCGAGATTAAATGGGACGAAACCACTCAAGGTGAAACCAATCTTTGCAAACGTAATCAAGGCAAACCCACCCGTTACCAAAGTAATGGTGTACGTTTACGTTGATTGGAATAGTGGGAGAGATCCTCTCTGTGAATTACGTCCTATATAGTGTGGAGGGAA